ATATTCATATGATCCAACTACATCGATCTGTGCTCGGCGAGTTGGCCTTTTGGACAACATATATCGATCTAACATCGTTTTAAAATGTAATAAATCGATTGTATCGATACTAGGAAATAACCCATTGGATTTAAGCACGTCAGACTTTATATGCAGGGGTGCACATAACTGGTACGCAGATACGCAAGCGCGCCAAAAATCAGGAATGCGTAATGCCACCTGTGTTACTACGCGCCTTTGCGTACTTGACCGATCTTCTCATCTAACCTTACACATGACATGTTGCTTGTCAACTACTGTCAGGGATGTCCAAAAAGCAACAGACATTAAGCAGCTTCTTTGGCGTTTCGCCACCTACAAAGAAACGCCAACTGGAGCCAGAGCCGAAGAAAATACTTTTTTCGGAAAAGTGGCTCCAAGATGTGCAGTGGCTTGAAGCTAACGATGAGCGCACTGAAATGTGGTGCAAGATTTGCCGCTCAAATCCACATCTAGCAGACAAAACAGGTGCATTTTATAAAGGCTCAAAGAATTTCAACCATCCTTTATTTGACAAACATGAAAAGAGCAAGGAGCACACGAATGTGGCGCAAGCCATTGCTAAAAGCTAGCCGAGAATAAATGTCCAGTCTCCCACTTGCCAGATGGCGAGACAAGCTGAATGAAGAACAGCGGCAAGCTCTGTTTAATATTTTTCTCTTTCCATAAAGCTAAACATCAGATCCATCAAAAAGCAGCCCCCAAAATTCAGCAGACTGCAACTTGGCTCGTAACTCCCCGCTGATGGTGTGAGCGATGCTAGAGCAAAAAAAACTGCTGCACTGAATAAAGCTATGTGAAGAAAATGGGATCTCCTTTGTGGAACTGGGTAAGTTTCATAATACCAGATGGTCTGCATGGAGGCATGAAACACTGTTAAAAATATAAAGACTATTGCCAGCCATTAAAATGCAACTGGTTACCAGGTATTTATTTCAGTCACACTGGTTGAATTTTTGGCTAAAAGGTTACTGAATCGATTTCAAGTCACTGAATCGTTTCGGATCGTATCGTTCTAAATGAACCAATATCGTCCTTGAATCGTATCGACAACCACGAATCGTGATACAAATCGAATCGTTGTTAAAACGAATCGTTACACCCCTAGTATCTACTGATGTGTTCTGGTGTATTGTTAGGTATCTATCTACTGATGTGTTCTGGGGTATTGTTAGGTATCTATCTACTGATGTGTTCTGGTGTATTGTTAGGTATCTATCTACTGATGTGTTCTGGTGTATTGTTTGGTATCGATCTACTGATGTGTTCTGGTGTATTGTTAGGTATCTATCTACTGATGTGTTCTGGTGTATTGTTAGGTATCTATCTACTGATGTGTTCTGGTGTATTGTTAGGTATCTATCTACTGATGTGTTCTGGTGTATTGTTAGGTATCTATCTACTGATGTGTTCTGGTGTATTGTTAGGTATCTATCTACTGATGTGTTCTGGTGTATTGTTAGGTACCTACTGATGTGTTCTGGTGTATTGTTAGGTATCTATCTACTGATGTGTTCTGGTGTATTGTTAGGTATCTATCTACTGATGTGTTCTGGTGTATTGTTAGGTATCTATTTACTGATGTGTTCTGGTGTATTGTTAGGTATCTACTGATGTGTTCTGGTGTATTGTTAGGTATCTATTGATGTGTTCTGGTGTATTGTTAGGTATCTATCTACTGATGTGTTCTGGTGTATTGTTAGGTATCTATCTACTGATGTGTTCTGGTGTATTGTTAGGTACCTACTGATGTGTTCTGGTGTATTGTTAGGTACCTACTGATGTGTTCTGGTGTATTGTTAGGTATCTACTGATGTGTTCTGGTGTATTGTTAGGTACCTACTGATGTGTTCTGGTGTATTGTTAGGTATCTACTGATGTGTTCTGGTGTATTGTTAGGTATCTACTGATGTGTTCTGGTGTATTGTTAGGTATCTACTGATGTGTTCTGGTGTATTGTTAGGTATCTACTGATGTGTTCTGGTGTATTGTTAGGTATCTACTGATGTGTTCTGGTGTATTGTTAGGTATCTACTGATGTGTTCTGGTGTATTGTTAGGTATCTACTGATGTGTTCTGGTGTATTGTTAGGTATCTATCTACTGATGTGTTCTGGTGTATTGTTAGGTATCTATCTACTGATGTGTTCTGGTGTATTGTTAGGTATCTACTGATGTGTTCTGGTGTATTGTTAGGTACCTACTGATGTGTTCTGGTGTATTGTTAGGTACCTATGTTCCTACCTGCTTGTTGTGTCGTGGCTGCAGCACCAATAGCTGGTTCTCCCCAGGTGGGAGGCTGTGGGAGGCGCAGTCGGCTGTCCCGGCACAGCCTCCAGGCTGCAGTATGGAAAAGGGAGGCTGGGTGCTCAGCCTGAAACTCAGAGGCATCTCTGTACTGTTCTTCAACTGGAACGTCCGTGTGATGGAACACTTCCTATGGACCATCTGAGAAAAAACAATATGGTAGAGAAGTTACCCAATGACAAAATATGAGCCTGTAAATGGAAGAAATAAAACATTGTAGACTAAAAAATGTCAAGTGATTTGAAAAAAACAACATTTACTGTTGAAAAGTAACATCAAGTATAAATACAGTAAAGTATTAAAAAACACTATTTTACTCCAAACTGATTTTTTTACCCTTTAGTGTGTGTCCTTTACTGTATTTATACTTGGGATACTATTTTCAACTGTAAAAGTTCAAAAACCGTTGGATGACATCTTTAAATCTGTAGGTGGTTTGGCAGGTGTCTCAGACCCACCTGATTGTGTGGATCTCCCTGTATTAAATCACTAGCCACAGCACAGAACTCCAGACACTCCTCTTCCTCCTCCATCTGAACTGACAGGCTGAAGAGGAGAACACAGACAGTAAGTCACTGACAGGCTAAAGAGATGAACACAGACAGTAAGTCACTGACAGGCTACAGAGATGAACACAGACAGTAAGTCACTGACAGGCTACAGAGATGAACACAGACAGTAAGTCACTGACAGGCTACAGAGATGAACACAGACAGTAAGTCACTGACAGGCTACAGAGATGAACACAGACAGTAAGTCACTGACAGGCTAAAGAGATGAACACAGACAGTAAGTCACTGACAGGCTACAGAGATGAACACAGACAGTAAGTCACTGACAGGCTACAGAGATGAACACAGACAGTAAGTCACTGACAGGCTACAGAGATGAACACAGACAGTAAGTCACTGACAGGCTACAGAGATGAACACAGACAGTAAGTCACTGACAGGCTAAAGAGATGAACACAGACAGTAAGTCACTGACAGGCTAAAGAGATGAACACAGACAGTAAGTCACTGACAGGCTAAAGAGATGAACACAGACAGTAAGTCACTGACAGGCTAAAGAGATGAACACAGACAGTAAGTCACTGACAGGCTACAGAGATGAACACAGCCAGTAAGTCACTGACAGGCTACAGAGATGAACACAGACAGTAAGTCACTGACAGGCTAAAGAGATGAACACAGACAGTAAGTCACTGACAGGCTAAAGAGATGAACACAGACAGTAAGTCACTGACAGGCTACAGAGATGAACACAGACAGTAAGTCACTGACAGGCTGAAGAGGAGAACACAGACAGTAAGTCACTGACAGGCTAAAGAGATGAACACAGACAGTAAGTCACTGACAGGCTACAGAGATGAACACAGACAGTAAGTCACTGACAGGCTAAAGAGATGAACACAGACAGTAAGTCACTGACAGGCTACAGAGATGAACACAGACAGTAAGTCACTGACAGGCTAAAGAGATGAACACAGACAGTAAGTCACTGACAGGCTACAGAGATGAACACAGACAGTAAGTCACTGACAGGCTAAAGAGATGAACACAGACAGTAAGTCACTGACAGGCTACAGAGATGAACACAGACAGTAAGTCACTGACAGGCTACAGAGATGAACACAGACAGTAAGTCACTGACAGGCTAAAGAGATGAACACAGACAGTAAGTCACTGACAGGCTAAAGAGATGAACACAGACAGTAAGTCACTGACAGGCTAAAGAGATGAACACAGACAGTAAGTCACTGACAGGCTAAAGAGATGAACACAGACAGTAAGTCACTGACAGGCTAAAGAGATGAACACAGACAGTAAGTCACTGACAGGCTACAGAGATGAACACAGACAGTAAGTCACTGACAGGCTACAGAGATGAACACAGACAGTAAGTCACTGACAGGCTAAAGAGATGAACACAGACAGTAAGTCACTGACAGGCTAAAGAGGAGAACACAGACAGTAAGTCACTGACAGGCTAAAGAGATGAACACAGACAGTAAGTCACTGACAGGCTAAAGAGATGAACACAGACAGTAAGTCACTGACAGGCTACAGAGATTAACACAGACAGACCACCTGCTCTACAATTTCATACATTCAGTTGATTTACTGTCCCTACTACACATTGGGGCAGTGTTCCCGGACGCCAATTAGGCCAAGTCCTGCACTAAAAGGCAAGTTCAATGGACGTTTTAGTCTGGGAAACCACCCAATTAAGCATGTCTATGGTCAATAGTGGTTTCTTACACAGCAGATCTGACGGAGGCCTGGAGGTCCAGTCTGAGAGGCTCCAGATCCCGACCCTGAGCCCTTTGAACCTTCCCTGGGATACAGGAGGACACCTGCAGGGACACACCTGTGAGCACCAAACATCACATGATCACAGAATCATGGCACATCAAATTTGGAACCGTAATACCTTGGAGTCAAGGCTCATGAAGCCCAGAGCGAAGGACACACAGGCAGCCTTAGAGGTCAGTCCTGACAGGGTCAGGGGAGTGAAGGAGATGTGGATGGTGCTGCTGCCCCCTGCTGGGACATCCTGGAATAACAACAAGGTTAAAATACTGGTCAACATACCTGCTTTCCCTTCTACTGTATCCAACACAGTTAATGTGATGGTCTCTTAAAGATGGTCATGCTATCTGTTGTGGGGTGATGCAGTATGGGTGGTCTGTTGTAGAGTGATGCAGTATGGGTAGTCTGTTGTGGGGTGATGCAGTATGGGTGGTCTGCTGTAGAGTGATGCAGTATGGGTACTCTGCTGTAGAGTGATGCAGTATGGGTACTCTGCTGTAGAGTGATGCAGTATGGGTAGTCTGTTGTAGAGTGATGCAGTATGGATAGTCTGTTGTAGAGTGATGCAGTATGGGAAGTCTGTTGAAGAGTGATGCAGTATGGGTAGTCTGTTGTAGAGTGATGCAGTATGGGTAGTCTGTTGTGGGGTGATGCAGTATGGGTGGTCTGCTGTAGAGTGATGCAGTATGGGTACTCTGCTGTAGAGTGATGCAGTATGGGTACTCTGCTGTAGAGTGATGCAGTATGGGTAGTCTGTTGTAGAGTGATGCAGTATGGGTAGTCTGTTGAAGAGTGATGCAGTATGGGTACTCTGCTGTAGAGTGATGCAGTATGGGTAGTCTGTTGTAGAGTGATGCAGTATGGGTAGTCTGTTGAAGAGTGATGCAGTATGGGTAGTCTGTTGTAGAGTGATGCAGTATGGGTAGTCTGTTGTAGAGTGATGCAGTATGGGTAGTCTGTTGTAGAGTGATGCAGTATGGGAAGTCTGTTGAAGAGTGATGCAGTATGGGTAGTCTGTTGTAGAGTGATGCAGTATGGGTAGTCTGCTGTACATACTATCTGTTGTAGAGTGATGCAGTATGGGAAGTCTGTTGAAGAGTGATGCAGTATGGGTAGTCTGCTGTAGAGTGATGCAGTATGGGTAGTCTGCTGTAGTGTGATGCAGTATGGGTAGTCTGCTGTAGAGTGATGTAGTATGGGTAGTCTGCTGTAGAGTGATGCAGTATGGGTAGTCTGTTGTAGAGTGATGCAGTATGGGTAGTCTGCTGTAGAGTGATGCAGAATGCGTAGTCTGCTGTAGAGTGATGCAGTATGGATAGTCTGTTGTAGAGTGATGCAGTATGGGTCGTCTACTGTAGAGTGATGCAGTATGGGTAGTCTGTTGTAGAGTGATGCAGTATGGGAAGTCTACTGTGGACTGATGCAGTATTGGTAGTCTACTGTGGAGTGATGCAGTATGGGTCGTCTACTGTAGAGTGATGCAGTATGGTTGGTCTACTGTGGAGTGATGCAGTATGGGTAGTCTACTGTGGAGTGATGCAGTATGGGTAGTCTACTGTGGAGTGATGCAGTATGGGTGGTCTACTGTGGAGTGATGCAGTATGGGTGGTCTGATGTGGAGTGATGCAGTATGGGTAGTCTGATGTGGAGTGATGCAGTATGGGTAGTCTACTGTGGAGTGATGCAGTATGGGTAGTCTACTTGCCGTGTTCAAGAGGATCAAAACCGCCAAGTATCATGACCAAGTATCATGACCAAGTATCATGACTAAGTATCATGACCAAGTATCATGACCAAGTATCATGACCAAGTATCATGACCAAGTATCATTGGTAAATTGTGACTGACAGATCAGTCAGTCGGCAGTCACCTGCACTGTCGGCTGCAATGTCGAACAAGCGCTCCATCTTCTGTGGAGTGATGCAGTATGGGTAGTATGCTATACGTACTATCTGCTGTGGAGTGATGCAGTATGGGTAGTATGCTATACGTACTATCTGCTGTGGAGTGATGCAGTATGGGTAGTATGCTATACGTACTATCTGCTGTGGAGTGATGCAGTATGGGTAGTATGCTATACGTACTATCTGCTGTGGAGTGATGCAGTATGGGTAGTCGGAGGCGTTGCCTTCGTGCGGCCTGATGAAGACAGAGAAGAGCCTCCTCTGAGGAGGCGCAGGGTAGAGAGCTCCTTCCTCCTCCTCCTCCTCCTCCTCAAGGTCCTATAGGTGAGAAGGAACAACCATTGATGCATGCTTATGTAATGGTATCCACTGCCACATCATCACAACACATCAGAATCCTTATCACAACACATCAGAATGCTTATCACAGTAACCTGATCACAACAACTGCATACTTGTGGCACATTGTACATGTTGTGATAATGTCAAACCCATACTTGTTTTGGTAGAAATAAGTTGTAATGTCTATGAAGGACAGGTGTCTCCATCCACTCACAGACTTGCTCTTGAGAGAGGAGGAGCTAGTTCCCTCAGTGCTGGGTGTCTGGCTCCGGTCCCAGATGGGCGAAGTCTCGTTAGACATGGCCCCGCCCCCAACCACCTCGTTGCCGTCTGCGTCCTTCAGGGGAAAGGCGTCTCCGTAGGCAACCACCAAATCCAGCAGCTTCCTGTCCTCCTGGTCCACGTTGAAGCTCTCCCAGTCCATACGGATATCTGACATTAAACACACAGCAATAACGTGTTCATACTTGACTAGAGGTTTTCTCGTTAAGGAAACAGGTCCATCTGACAACAGGACGTCTGAGGTGTCCAGAGAGCTGAGAGCTTACCGTAGGGGCTAGTGTTGTTCAGGCGTAGAGAGCGGGACACTGTGTCCCCTCCAGAGACGTGGGTACCGAACCTGAGAAGACACAGGTAGGTAGGTACAGATGCAGATTGGTCATTGGGAGATTTATGGGGAAGTTATAGAACGTATCTGAAGATACAGTACTGGGGATCCAGCTCACCGTATGATTGGCCCCTGGTTCTGTCTGTCTGGGTGTGGACCAATCATCTGGAAGTAAAGAGGACAGCCCCTCACTGTCATCTGCATGGGGATCAGCTTGGGCTGGAGGTCACCCACCTACCATAGGGACAGAGGACAGGTAGAGATAGTTACTACTATTACTACTGCTGCTACTGCTACTACTACTACTACTGCTACTACTACTACTACTCTACTGCTACTACTACTACTGCTACTACATACTATTACTGCTACTACTACTACTGCTACTACTACTACACATACTACTGACTATACTCTACTGTACTACTACACTACTACTACTAATACTACTACTACTACTACTACTCTACTACTACTTACTACTACTACTACTACTACTGTACACTACTAACTACTCTACTACTGCTACTACTACTATTACTACTACTAACTGCTCTACTACTACTACTACTACTACTGCTATACTACTACACTACTACTCTACTGCTACTACTCTACTATACTACTACTACTACATACTATACTCTACTCTACATACTTACTACTACACTACATACTCACTACTACTACGCTACTACTACCTACTTGCTAATACTACTGCTACTACTACTACTGCTACTACTACTACTTATCTACTAACTACTGCTTTCTACTACTAACTACTACTGACTACTCCCGTACTAACTACTACTACTACACTACTACTATCTACTACTGACTACTACTACTATCTATACTACCATACTACTACTACTACTTGCTACTACTACTACTACTAGCTACTACTACTGCCTACTCACTACTACTACTATCTACTGCTACTCTACTACTACTACTAACTGACTAACTCTACTGTCTAACTTACTACTACTCTACTCTACTATACTACTATCTACTACTACTACTGCTACTACTCACTAGCTACTACTCTAACTCTACTACTACTGCCTACTACTGCTACTACTACTACTTACTACTCACTTACTAACTACTACTATTACTACTACTACGTTACTACTACTACTACTGCTACTACTACTACTCTAACTTACTACTTACTAGCTACTATCTACCTAACTGCTACTACTAACTACTACTCTACTACATGCTACTACTCTACTCTAACTCTACTAGCTACTACTACTACTCACTACTACTAGACTCTACTGCTACTGTTACTACTGCTACTACTACTACTACTACTAACTGACTACTACTACTGCTACTACTACTACTATCTACTACTCTATCTACTACCTACTACTACTACTACTACTACTACTATGCTACTGCTAACTCTACTACTGCTTACTTACTCTACGCTACTACTTTCTAAACTATCTACTACTACATACTACTTAGACTACTACATAGCTACTACTGACTACTTCTACTTACGTACTACTACTTACTACTACATCTACTACTACTATCTACTGACTCTACTGCTACTACTACTGCTACTACTATACTACTGCTAGCTATGCTTGCTACTGCTTGCTACTTACTACTTTCTGTCTACATCTACTACACTTCACTATCTACTACGTCTACTACGTACTACCTACTCTACTTCACTCCTATGCTATATAGTACTCTGCACTGTCTACTTCTACTGCTACTACTCTACTGTACTATGCTACTGCTACACTTTCTCTACTATGCTACTACTACTACTACTACGCTACTGCTACTGCTACTCCTTTTTTTTTTTCCCCCTAAATCTGCCCACTTCTTCCCACTACCCCGACTACGCTATAAAAACTACTTTACAACACTTCCCCCCTCCGCTTTCTACTACTTTCGCTACTGCTAAATTCTACCCGGGGACGCCCACTACTACTACTACTAAATTCTAAACACTACTAAACCCACTACTTCTCTGCTACTGCTAAAGATAAACCCAATACTACTGGCTAAATGCTACTTGGCTACTACTACTACTTCCCACTTTCTACTTTCTAAAAAGGTTTTCAATATCTACTCTGGGAATATTGAAAAGGACCACCTTTCCCAAAAAGCCTCGCTTTTTGAAATCCCATTTATTTTGGGGCCGACCTTAACAATGACCCGGTTTTCTATTCCTCCCCACATTTTGGGGAAGGGTTTTAAAGGGCAGGGTTTTAAATCAGGGTTAAAAGGGCCCGGTTTTAAAGGTCAGGGGTTTAAAGGGCAGGGTTTAAAGGGCAGGGTTAGGTTTAGGGTTAAGGGTTTGGGTTAAGGTCAGGGGTTTAAGGGCAGGGTTTTAAAGGGTTTGGGTTAAGTGGTTTTTGGGGCAGGGGTTTAAGGTTTTTAGGGGGTTTAAAGGGCAGGGGTTTAAGGGTTTGGGTTAGGGGTTTGGGTTAAGGTCAGGGTTTGGGGCAGGGTTTTAAAGGTTTTTGGGAAAGGGTTTGGGTTTTGGGGGTTTTAGTAGTGTCCCCTACCTTACAATGAGGGGCTCTGTATTTTTCCCCCCCATGTTTGGGGAGGGGGTGATTCTTGGTCTGAGTCGCAACCTCCCAAAAAGCCACAAGGGCCTTGCTGGACAAGAAAGGCCCGCCCCTTCCCAAAGGGGCCAAAAGCCCATTCACAAACCCTGTTTAGTAGTACAAAGGAAAACCAGGGCCCAAAAAAACCCTTTCAAAACCCCGTCCGTAAATACCCGGGAAAAACGCAATTTAAAACCGGTTTTAAACCCCAAATACGGCCCGGGCCCAAAATTTAGAAAACCCCGGAGTCAAAACAGGTAAAAAGGTTTTAAACCCTGTCATAGATCAGGAACACGCATTTAAAACACCTTCCCAAAACCCCGTCAGTTAAAACAGGAAAACCATTTAAAACACGGTTTCAAAAAACCCCTTTAGTAGAAAACAGGAACAAACCCGGGCAAAAAAACGTTTTTAAACCCCGTCTTAATACAGGAACCCCGCAGTCAAAACCCCCGGTTCAAAAAATTCCGTAGATAGGGAAAGGGATAAAAAGGCAAAGTCAAATCTCAAAGGGAGTGGTTCAAACCCCTGGGTCGGGAAAGATTCCCCGGTTTTAAAACCCCTGGCCAGGAAACGGCCCCGGGGAAAAAACAGGGGGGGCCCCCGGGGGAAACGGCCGGGTGCTAAAAAAAGGGTTTTTTTGGGAAAGGGGGGAAGGGGAAAAAGCAACCCGGGCAAAACCCCGGGCCCAAACCAAAACCCCGTCAGGAAACAGGGAAAACGCACAAAAAACGGGCATTCAAAACCCTTCCCCGGTTAAGCCAGGGAAGGAAAACGCTTTAAAAAAACGGTTCAAACCCGGGGCATAGAAACCCGGGAAAACGCAGTCAAACCGGGTTTAAACCCTGTCATGATACGGAAACACGCAGTCAAAACACGGTTTCCCAAAACCCTTTTCTAGATACAGGAACACCATAAAAAAAACCAAACCCAAAAAAGGCAAAGGGTTCCCCCAAACCCTGTTTAGTAGATACAGGGCCCCAATTTAAAAAAAGAAAAAAAATTGAAAAAAAAAAAAAACCCGTTTCAAGAAAACAGGCCACCAGTCAAAACAACCCGGGTTTAAAACCCGTCGTAGAAACCCGGAAAAACCATTTTAAAAAAACAACGGGGTTTAAACCCTTCCCGTAGAAAACAGGGAAAACGCAAATCAAAACAAAGGGTTTCCCAAACCCCGTCATAGATACAGGGCCCCGGGAGGGCAAAAACCCCCCGATAAACACGGTTCAAACCCTGTCAGTAGATACAGGAAAAACGCAGTCAAACACCCGGGTTTAAAACCCTGTCATAATAAGGGCACGCAGTCCCCAAACACTTTCAAAAACCCCGTCCTAATACCGGGAAAACTTTAAACAAAAAAACGGTTCAAAAACCCGGGCAGTAGATCCAAGGGCCACAAAAATTTAAAAAAAAACGGTTCCCAAACCCCGTCAGTAATTTCCGAACAACCCCAAAACACGGGTTTAAACCCTTTTATTAGATCCCGGACCCCCCGGGCAAAAAAAAAACGGTTCAAAAACCCCGTCAGTAATACCGGCCCAGTCAAAAAAAGGTTTTAAAAAACCCCGTCAAGAGATACAGGAACCCATTTCCCAAAAAACGTTTTTAAACCCGTCAATAATCGGAACACGCAATTCAAAACACGGTTCAAACCCTGTCAGTAGATACAGGAACACGCAGTCAAAACACGGTTCAAACCCTGTCAGTAGATACAGGAACACGCAGTCAAAACACGGTTCAAACCCTGTCATAAAACAGGCCCAAAAACCCCTCCCAAAAACCCCGGGGTTTAAAACCCGGGCAGTAAAATACAGGAACCGCATTTAAAACCGGTTTCAAACCCTTTGTAGATACAGAACACGCAAACCCCAAAAAACGGTTCAAAAAACCCCGGGCCTTTGATAAAAAGGACCCCACAGGGCCCAAAAAAAACCCGGTTTTTAAACCCGTCAGTAGATCCGGAAAAAACGCATTCAAAAAACCGGGTTTAAACCTTTCAGTAGATTTCCGGAAACGCAGTCAAAACAAAGGTTTTAAAAACCCCGCAGTAGAATTACAGGAAAACGCAGGCAAAACCCGGTTTTAAACCTGGCAGTAGATACGGGAAAACGCAGTCCCAAAAACCCGGGTTTAAAAACCCCGTCCCGTTTTAAAACGGAAACCGCAGTTCCAAAAACAAAAACAACCCGGTTTTAAACCCTGTCCTTTGATCGGGGAAAACCCCTTTAAAAAAAAACACGGTTTTAAACCCTTCTTAGATACAGGAACCAAACCCTTTAAAAAACGGGGCAAACCCGTCATTTAAAACAGGCCACCAGTCAAAACACGGGTTTAAACCCTGGGCAGGGAAATACCGGAACCGCAGGGCAAAAACCCCGGTTCAAACCCCTTTTATAAAATACAGAACAACGCCGTCAAAAAAACGGTTTTAAAAACCCTCCGTAAATCCCGGGAAAAAGCAAATTTAAAAAATTTCAAAACCCCGTCAGTAGATACCGGAACACGCATCAAAACAACGGTTCAAACCCCTTCCCTAATACAGGAAACAGGCAGTCAAAAAACGGTTTCAAACCCTGTCAGTTTGAAAACAGGGAAAAACGCACCCAAAAAACGTTTTTAAAAAACCCCGTCGTAAAATAAGGACCA